ACTCCCTCTTCACTCAGCTCTGGTCCATATAGCACAACCATAATTTTTTTTAAAAGAGAATTTAAATTTTCTTGGTGAAAATTTAAAAGTCCATGTTCATGAAGTTTCAAGTATTAAATAAGTAGAAACCTCAGGGTTATATTGAAGAGTAGAGGTTTTCAACAGAAAAAGTTATGTCAATTAAATATATATAGAAAAATGTGTATATATACACATATGGACATGGAAATAATCAGAAAAAAATCATGACATTATCCTCTGCATAGTCCTACCAGAGTTATGCATATTTTTAAAAGTCAGTCTGCATTACTTTATCACAATGAAACACTTATTCAAATAGATAAGTACAACATAAATACGTAGTATACCAGAGAAACAGAGTTTTGAACATTCTCATTTACAGCTTCTTTTAAATCAAATTAATGGAAGGTAAACTGAGAATCGGTTGTGACATCAGAAGATTGACAGTAAATCATGCCTTCTACCACTTGGCAGGGATTTCCATAGGCATAGAATAAGCCACACATTTTCACTCATGGCCAACGTGAATGAATGTAGTGGCATTTATTAAGCACTATGTGCAGAGCCATTAGTGATACAAAGAAAGAAGCCAAACACTTCTCAAGGAGCTCACATTCTAGCAGGGGTAACACACACAGAGATTTCAGATGGAAAGGATCAGTGATCCTTAGGATAGAGTGGCAAAGATGATGATGATGCATTTGCTTTAATGTCATTTTCACAGATAAATTCATATCTATTTCTTCTTCTTCTTCTTCTTTTTTTTTCTTTTTGCTAGGCAATTGGGGTTAAGTGACTTGCCCAGGGTCACACAGCTAGTAAGTGTCAAGTGTTTAGTCTGAGGCCGAATTTGAACTCGGGTCCTCCTGACTCCAAGGCCGGAGCTCTATCCACTGCACCACCTCGCTGCTCCTCATATCTATCTCTGATGATGAACCATTTGATAGTACTAAGGACTTTGGTGATGAGGACTTTTTTCTGAGCCCGATTTCTGTTATTTGCTTTGCTCGACTGCACTTGTTACAAGGGAGGGCTTTATTGGAGGAGGGGTAATTAAATCTCAGGGAAGTGACCATAAATTTTAAAAAAGGGAAAGAATATCAATAAAACAACTTATAAGAAGAAAAGACAAATTGGTTAGTACTATAAACATAATAGAGCCATGCAAATAATATTCTATGATTTTAGAATTTTTTAAGAGTTTAGAATTATATTCCTACTCCTTTCTACTAACCTGTTACTTTGTGTAATTAATATTTTTTGTCCTTATTTATGAAATAACCAACCAAATATAATAGCCTTTGCACTGGCCATTCTCCATGCCTGGAATGCATTCCCCCACTCATTTCTGCCTTACAGACTCCATCTCTCCCTTCAAGATACAGCTCGAGCACCATCTCATATATGAAGTCTTTCATGATTCCCCAATTGCTAGTGTCCTCCTTTAAAAACAACCTTCCTTAAATACTTTGCATCTATTTGTACTTGTTCCCTTTACATTTATTCTGTATATATACATATTTTGCATATTCTTGTTTCATTCTCTGTAGCCCAAGCTCTGGCACAGTGCCTGACATACATGAGACACTTAGTAATAGCTTGCTGACTGACAGAATGATTTAAAGCTTACAAAGTACTTTTCTGATAACCCTGCGGTGGGTAGTACAAGTATTAATTTCTTTACAGATAAGGAAACTGAGTTTCCAATAAATTAAAAGACTTGTCCAGGTCACATAACTAGTAGATTTCAGAGACGGGATTAGAGCCCAAGTCCAGTACTCTTCTTTACAGAAGGCTGTCCAATGGAGAAGATATTGATACAACTTAACTAAAAAGCTGGATTCTTACTCACCATGTTCAAGCCATATAAGGAACAGCTGAAAGAACTGGGAATGTTTAGTCTAGAGAGGAGGAAACTTGGGGCAGGGGAAGGAGGGAGAGACATTAAAACTGCTTTCAAATATTAAAGGGCTGTCTTATGGATGAGGAATTACACTTGTTCTGCTTGGCCCCAGAGGTAAGAATGAGGAAAAGTGACTGGAAGGTAGAAAGAAAAAGGCACATTTAGGTTTGATGTAAGGAAAAACTTTGCTAATTAAGTAGAGCTATTCAAAAAAGGAGTGAGTTGCTTTGCAGGTTTTCTCTTTCAAGCTAAGGCTGGAAAACATATATGGCATTTTGTAAGAGGGGATTACATTGAGATTCATAAAGGATAAAGAAATAATCTGAAGATCAGCCAAGATGGTGGAGGAGCATTCAGTAGAGCATCAGCTTCTCCCAACAACTACTCTAATAAAGATCTAGACAGAATGAGATTGAAAAGTGATTGAGAAATAGATTACAGCAGGTCATCTTTCAAGTCCCAAATCACAAATTTGTCCTTCAGGCAAGTAAACAGGGCACGAACCTTGGAACATGGATGGGCTGGGATCACAGATCCTAAGGCCAGCAGCCTAAGCATGCCCAGAATGAAGGCGCAGACCAGCAGTGTGTGTCTCCTACAGGGGCTTGAGAGCATGGTCTCAATGCATACAGTCCTAAATGTGGACAATGGACTCAGTCATCCCTCCCAGCACAGTAACATAGGGAAAAGGGATGAGATGTTTCCAAAGGGACTGGGATTAGACTCAGCCCCAAAGCTCTCAGTGAAGCCACCAATGCTGGGTCGCCTGGAGCAGATCGCTGAAGACTAAATAAAAAGAATAAAGAACCTTTATGAGTTAGATGCCAACCTAAAAATGCAACTACAACTGAATCATCAGAAAAGACTATAAAGATGAAGTGTTTGCATTCTAATGAGGAGTGGACATGATAAAAGCATACCTAACAGGGGTCATATAGGGAGTCAAATAAGATGGAGGGTTGGGAGGGACTTTCTGTAACGTTTTAAGGATCTTAAAAGAAAAATGAAAGGGGGCAGGCAATATACATCAGTGAAGAAAAGGGGAGGAATAGGGCAGGAGAACTTATTATCTAAATAAGGTGGGAGGGACGGGCAAGTAGAGGTCCATACAAATGAGGAAGTGGTGAGAGGAACAAAAATCACCTGAACCACATTCTGAACTAATGCAGAGTGAAGTAGGCAGAACCAGGAGAACAAATTATACAATAGCAACATCATTAAAAGGAACGATTTTGAAAGACTTAAGAATTCTAATCAATGCGATGATCAACCATGACTCTCAGAGGACTGATTAGAATGCTGCTTTCCTCCTTACAGAGAAGTGATGGACTAGATATGTTGGGTGAGATACGCATTTTTGGACATGGCCAATGTTCAAATTTGTTGGGAACTTGTTTTACTTAACTATGTGTGTCTGTTGTAGGGTTTTTTCTTTTTTCTTTTCCCCATCGTGGGAAGAAGTGGAAGAGAGAGAAGGTAGATGCTTTTTAATTGGTGAAAATATTGATTTTTTTTAATTAATTTATTTATTAATTTTTAGTTTTCAACATTCACTTCCATAAGATTTTGAGTTTCAAATTTTCTCCTCCTCCCTCTCCTCCCCCCTCCCCAAGATGGTGCGCAATCTGATATAGGCTCTACTTATACATTCATATTATGTATAATTTTATGTTAGTCATGATGTAAAGAAGAATTAGAACCAATGGCAGGAACCACGAGAAAGAAGAATCAAAACAAAACAACAAAAGAAAAGGAGAGCAAATAGTATGCTTCCATCTGCGTTCAGATTCTATAGTTCTTTCTCTGGATGTGGATAGCTTTTTCCATCATGAGTCTTTTGGAGTTGTCTTAGATCCTTGCATTGCTGAGAAGAGCTAAGTCTATCAAAGTCAGTCATCGAACAGTGTGGCTGTTACTGTGTACAATGTTCTCCTGGTTCTGCTCACTTCCCTCAGCATCAGTTCATATAAGCCTTTCCAGGGAAAACATTTTTAAAAGAAAATATTTTAAAACAGCAGGAAGTATAAGAATAGACCTTTCCTTAATATGGCAAGTACTATCTTTCTAAAATCAAGAGCCAGAATTATATGCATTGTGTAGTCTTCCACAAAACACTCTTTACAAAAATAAATACTGGTCTAAATAAGTGGAGAAATAGTAATTACTTATAGGTAAGATAAACTGAGCTAATATAACAAAACAGACACTGCCTAAATTAATTTACTTATTCAGTGCAACACTAATCAAACCATATTACTTTACTGAGCTAGAAAAAAATAATGAAATCCACCTAGAGGTTAAAAATCTTAAAGAAAATACTCAATCTATTACCCAAAGAGGTGAAAGGGGAAAAGAATCAGACGTACAAAAATATTTACAGCAACTTTTTGTAGTAGTAAAGCATGAGAAACAAAGAGGGTACCCATTTACTGGGGAATGGCTGACCAGATTACATTATATGAATATAATGGAATATTACTGGGCCATCTAAGAAATGATGAAAGGGACAGTTTCAGAGAAAACTGGGAAGACTTATATGACCTGATGGAGAATGAAATGAGCAGAACCAAGAGAATCATTTTTTACAGCAACAACAACGTTGTAAAGAAAAGTCACTTTGAAAAACTTAAGAATTATGATTAATTCAATGATGTACCACAATTTCAAAGCATGTTTAGCCCACTTCCTGACAAAGAGATGATGAAATGAAGATGTTGAATGAGGCAAATATTTTTTGAGACGATTAATGTGGCAATTTGTTTTGCCTGACTATGCATATTTGTCACAAGGGTTTTGGTTTTCTTTTCTTTTTCCTAGTAGGGATAAGGAAAGGAACAGAGAAAAAAACATAAATTCTTGTTAACTGAAAAAAATGTAAAAATTTTAAAAAATAAATATTCTGAAGACCTAATTCCTGCAGTGACATAATTCACTGATTACTTTTAAGTATGGTCAAATGACTAAATTTTTAATAAAGACAATCACAAAGTTTAATTTCCAATATAATATAATTTAGCATTTAAATATACATTCTTATACATTATCTAATAGCTTCATCTGGTTTTTAATACTCCAATTTTCAATAAGTCTATATGTAAGTTGTTACACGTGAAAATAATTTGTTTCCTTTTTCAAAATCTACTAACTTTTAAACTATAGCACCAACACAACTTCAATGCCATGTTATAATAAATGTGTATTAGAATTCACTAAAACATCCAAGTTAAGCTTGAAACAAAATGCTAAAGAAAAGGTGTTATAAAAACATTTTACAATATTCCAACACTGATTAAATGAAAAAGGAATATGTATTTAGAAAATTAGCGATAAATGAAAGGTTAAACTTTTGTGTGAAAACAATGTTCTTCATCCAAGAGGATATTTGGGCTTCCATTACGCGTGGGTGTCAACGTTTCTAAATACCAAATCTAAGAAAGCACATCGTTTTTACTGATGAAATGCTTCTAATCGTATTTGGCTTGGATCATCTTGATGTCTAAGCGCAATTCCACTACGCAGCAGCAGTTCAATATAAGGTGGCCAAAAGGAGTCATTAATTTTTACATATGGATCATGTGGAGAATGAAGTAAGCTATTTATAAGAATCTAGAAAGAAAGAAAAATTAACCAAAATATGCTTTATTTAAGGAGAGGTTTAAAACCTTAAAAAAAAATTTCAAATCTTTCAAAGGATACTGATTTTTCTAAAGGGCTATTTGAACTATAATTCTAATTTCCTAACTCAAAGAATTTATTGTTTTCAAAGACCAAATATACTACAGTAAATTTTAAATTTATTTGTTTGCTTCAATTTTTCAAATTCCCCTTACATAATTAACTAAATTATAATTTTAATCCATGAAACACCTATTTTTCTAGTTTTCTTTGCTTGGATGTGATCCTATTTTAAGAACTCCAGTATAACAATTCAGTTACAATCCCTACAATCAATGACATCACTGTCAAACTCAGTAAAAAACAAAACTCTATTAAAATTAAAATTAAGTTGAAACAAAAATGCATATGGTGGGGGCAGCTAGGTGGTGCAGTGGATAGAACACCAGCCCTGGATTCAGGAGGACCTGAGTTCAAATCCAACCTCAGACACGTAATACTTACTATCTGTGTGACCCTGGGAAAGTCACTTAACTCCCATTGCCCAACCAAAAAAAAAAATGCATATGGTATTTAAGACTCTTACTTTTCTCAAGATAAACACTACTTAATCATTAGTCAATATTATTTAATACTTAAAAAAACAAAAACGTCCTCGGTATGGGTACTTTTTCTACTGATGCAGGTGAAAATCCCCTCTACGATTTAAGATACAGATCTTTCATAAGTTCATGCAGCCCACCAAAAGGTAACAGGTATCTTCTCTGATCTTAGCTAATCTAACTTTGAACAACTGGTACAAAATCAGTCATTGGTATTTGCCAGAGTGCTTAAGTTCTGCTGCCAATGTCATGAATAATTACAAGATGACATCCAAGGCAGGATGAAGCACTAGAATAGAACTCTGGTGAAAAATGACACAATACGCTTTCAAGGAGATGGAACAATCTCAAAATTTGAATTCTTCCAATCCATTTCTATGCTTGGAAGACTATATTCACTTCTCATCTTTGACATCTTGTCTCCCTCATCAATAATATTCATAACAGAACAGGTATGGTATAATAGTGGAAAGAACATAAGTCAGAAGACCATCTGACTACCATGTAAGTGGTTGACATCAGGCAAAAATTTTTAGTAGCTATGAGGACTCACGTTTCTTACCTGTAAAGAGGAGATTTTGTTATCTACTACATAAGATTCTTATAAAGAAAAATTTTTAGTAAATAGCTAACAACTATATTAATAAGAGCAATTATTATTAGGTCTATAAAATTAGGAGTTCATAAATACCAGTCCTGAGTCTATAAATAATAATAACCTATATTCTTCAGATTACTCATCTGTAAAATTTAGTAGTTGCGAGAAATGAAGAGTAAGTAAAAGCATTCTCCAGCGGTAAGTCTGAAATCTGCCCTCTATAACCTAAGAATATAATTGTTTCAACATTGAAATGGTTATCTCTTGTCTCTGCTGGCCATTTGAATTCATCTCTTCACTTATCAAGCACTTGTTAAGCACCTGCTATGTGACAGGCACACTGCTTGGCACTGAGAACATAGAGACAAAAATGAACCACTTCCTTCAAGGGACTTGAATTCTTTGGCAGGAGAAAAACATGCACAAAGGAAATTAAATACAAAATATAATTAAAGTAGATACAACATAATTTCTAGTAGAGTTGGTCATTAGCAACAATGGTGCTCAAAAGAGGTTTCCTAAGTTGAACCTATCGTGAAGAACGCTCTAGTTCGATTTCTGAATACATCAGGATACAGAACAAATAAAAATCCCTATTTTAAGGCATTTGGTACTGGATTTTTAAAATACAATTAAAATCACTTAAATTTTTAAAAGAAGTTGTACTAATCAACCTTATACTGGTGTTTGTAGTAAATGCCAGAAAGAGTTAAAAGGGAGAGGACTCTCATTTTAGCACTTATTAGAAGTTTTATTTTTGCCACCTTGACTACCACCTTGTGGGCAGGATGTGCCTGTAAGGGCAGGAATAGCTTCTAATTCAACATTCTGTACACCACCCTGAATGCTGTTAGAAATGAAGAATCCATTTTTATAGTTAACATTATATAAGTGTTTATATCCCAAGTCACCAAATAATTAACCACGCTCCAGTGGAAGGAGTAGAAGAGAGAGAGGGCAAAAATCAAAGCAAAAATCAGAAATCTTTTTTTTTTTTTAAATTTCAATTAGGGAGCTATATATGTTTAAGGCTTTCAAACATCTTTTACTTTTTTAGGGTATTACATATGTTTAACACTTTCAAATGCCCTAAAATTTTTTTTGGTATTTTGCTTTTCAAAGAAGCCATTCTATTGATGAGTTATTTTAAAATACCTGAACTAAGAAATAAAACAATAGAAACAGGTTTTCATTCTTGTTTCCTAAAATTACATTTAATATGATTTTCTTAGATAATTTATTTTTTAAACTTATGAACTTTTATACATTTGATCATTGTGTTTATTTTCCAGTTAAAAAGTAATCATACAAATTGTCTAAACCAGGGGTGGGGAACCCATGGCCTCAAGGCCACATGTGGCCCTCTAGGTCCTCAAGTGCAGCACTTTGCTTGAATCCAAACCATACTTGAGGACCTAGCAGGCCACATGTGGCCTTGAGGCCATGGGTTCCCCACCCCTGGTCTAAACTTACCACCACCACATAGTATTTTTAAACTCCCTTTACAGATTGCACATTTTGTTTTCAATTTTTGTTCAATTTGTTATTAAGGGTCATATCAAGATACTATTAAGGACACAAAATTACCTTCGGGGTCTAAATAAAGCATAAATTTGGTCTTTACTTTAAAAGAAAGCTTAACAATGTCAGCATGACCAGGAAGCTAAAATCTTAATATGAAAATGTTATAATTCCTCAGCTCTTGCATCATGAAAGAGAAAGAGACAGACAGACAGACAGAGTCTGGTTTTACTTAGGTTTTTTTTCCCCTGCATGAATTCTTGCCACTTTATGGAAAGAATTCACAATCCTAAGTTTACTTTTGAGGGAGCGGGCAACTCCAACCCCTTCCCCCCAAAATAATCCCATATCCAAAACCAAAACCCACTCTTACTCTATAGGGTTTCACCATGTAAACCCTAAGTAAATGATATTTTGTCAAAGTATCACATTAGAATGTAGTACTTTACATCATTCTAAATAAAAAGAGTGTAATATGGGCTCCAAATCTTAATTTTAATCATTTTTCAAAAATTTCCTTTGCTATTACTTTCAATTATACACAACACAAAGTCAGAAACAAATTTAGGGTTGAAGTTCAGCTACATATATTTAAGAAAGATTTATGTCAGGTACAGTAAGAAACAGAATGTGCAGGGTGTGGTGGCACATGTACAGACACTCCTACTGGAGAGACTGAGGCTGGTATCCCGCTTGACCTCAGCAGTTCTGAAATGCAATAGGGCTAACATAATTGGTTGTCTCCACTAATTATGGCACCAATATGGTGAGCCCCTGAGAACGGAGGGGAGGGATGAACCTGTCCAGGCTGGAAATGAAGCAAGTCAAAGCTTCCATGCCAATAAATATTGGGATTAGGACTGCAAGTGATGGCGGAACTCCTAGCCTGGAGGAGATAAAAGCCTCAGCAAAATCTGTTTCAAAAGCCCAGATCAAGTTTTACTTATCACAATTATTAAAATTTCTCTTCTCTAAAAAAAGTTAGGGGCTTCTCTTAAACATATCAATTGATTTTATTTACAGTTTAATATTTGTTGAAGATTATTACTTAAAAAATAAGATTAAAAAACAGCAAGATAAAGAAAATTTTTAAATTCATGAAATACTTACCTCCAAAATTTCATGCATTGTCATTAACCGTGCATTTGGTTGACACTCTCTCTAAGGGGTGCAAAAAATATTTGGAGAAGGAATAGTTGGAAAAGAAAAGGTTAATAAAAATTTCTACAAATATAGTTTCTAAAAGAACTGCTACTGACTACACATATATTAAATATTTTTCAAGTGATATTTCATAATTACCATAATATAATAATTTAGATTACAAAGCATCAACAATTCAATCATTTTAAAAAACAATGGAGATAAATATCTACCATATTTAACGACAACATAAAAAATAGGATTTTAAAATAAAAAAAATTAGGAACATCAATACAAAGTTCATATTTTTAACAAAAGTAACGATTTTATTTAGCGAATTGATCATATTCACAGAAAAAACAATGAAACAGGGCAAGACAAAATTCAGTAAGTATATACTGTTATAAAAGGAGAAGTCATGGCACATATAACAAATGTAAGAAGAAGAGTTCACAGGTAATTCGTCTGTCAGAAGAAGACAAGCCAGTCTACATGTGGTGATAAGGTTTTGTGAAAAGTATCTGAATAAATGGAGTCAGTAGATGGTAGAATTCTAATCCTGGTATGTAGTTATATCTATGTAGAATAGTTTCAGTGGGGGTGGTAAACTACTGAATGTAGAAAGGGGCTTGTTACTGGAGAGGCTGTGATAAGTAGAGTTATGTGAACCTTAAGGAAGACTAGGATCAGAGGGAAGAAATCAGTGGGTAGGTGGGAAATCAAAATGGAAGAGAAGTAGACTGGAGGCCTAAAGAGGAGAGGAAGTATTTAAATTCTTATGTCTAGCCCTAATCTTCCTGCTGAGTTCCAATCTCATATTGCCCACTGCCCCATAAGCATAATATATGACAAAAACATAACTTATTTTTCCCTTGCAAACCATCTTCTCTTCCCATCTTTCCTAAAACTGTCAAGAACACCCTCCTCCGCCAAGAAATCCAGGCTTGCACGTTGTCAAACTCCATTCCACTCCAGTCTTGTCATTTATACCTTCACAACCCTTCTCATGTGCACCCTTTTGTCTACAGTCACCATTCTGCTACAGGCTTTCCTCAGGTCATGCCTTTACTGAAAAAAGCCACCTGATTTGTCTCTCTGTCTCAAGTCTCTCCCACTCCAATCTCTGCTCCACTCAGCTGACCATGTCCTGTTTCCCCACCCTCCCCCTATCACCACCTTCTACCTTTTCCCCCAATTCAATAAACTTTGGTGGTTCACCATTACCTTTAGGGTCAAATATAAAACCATGTTTGGCATTTAAAGCCTTTCACAACCTGTCCTCTTCCTCCCTTCTAGTCTTCTTACACTTCCTACCCTTCATGTACTCTATGATCCGGCTACACTGACCTCCCTGCTGCTCCTTACAGGACATTCTATCTCCCATTTCTGTGCATTTGTATCAGCTGTCTCCCATACTGGCAAAGCTCTAATTCTTTCATCTCCTCGCATTCTTCATAATTCAGTTCAAATCTCACCTTCCACGGAGGGTCTTGCCAGGTCCTTATCTGTTGGGTGCTGGAGCTGTTTCTTTGAGATAACCTTCCATTTACTCTGTATGTATCTTGTTTATATACATAGTTATTTGAATGCTGTCTCCTTCTTAAGTATGTGAGCTCTTTGAGGAAGAGACCATATTTTTGACTTTCTTTGTATCCTTCACACAGTGCTTAACACATAGCAATCATTTATTAAATGCTTGCTAACTGACTTGGAGTAATGATAATAAATAAAAGCCTGCATTATCAGCTATCATACTACAGGTCAACAGGTAATAAAAGCAGCTGAGGAAAGATTCTCTTTCCATTTCTATTGTATGAGAGTTAACAGGAATTTATGGGAAAGGAAAAGGAAGGAGGCGAAGGAATATAATGTAAGATTGGAACTGGAAGGGAAAAAAAGGTAAAATGATACACGAAGTAGGCATTTCATAAATGATTTCTTAAAAGAAAAATCCCAACAAATATCCAAAACTTACTTTTCTCTTTTTATTTCCATTTTCTTCAGGGAGAGGAAAATGCTTGTCTAGAACCTCACCCAGAGAGGTCAAGAGTTTCTGTCTATGTCTTCTTATTTTAGTCATTTTAGTTTTCAGTTCAAGTAAAGTTCTAACAAATATTAAGAGAACAAATGAGATGGTAAAGCACAATTTCTAAAAAGCATGGTAGAATGCTACTTTCTTTGGGTGTCTCAAGCTTTGTAAAAGGTTTTTGATATATTTCACACATTTGATTAGTTCTAGACCAATATCTAGATAAAAAAGAACAATTGCCCCAATTGAACAAATCCTAAAATTAAACAGTGCAGAAAAATCAATTTACCAAATAATTAAATAACTATGGAGTGGCAGGAATCAAGACTACACTCACAACTCCTGACACAATCTTCCAATATCTTTATTTCATGTAACACAAACAAGTTTACAATACTATCTTACTGATAAAACCTAACAGCATAGTATGTATTTACCTTTTCTCAGAAACTGGTATCACTTGATTTTTTAGTTCCTTACATATTTCATTGAGAGATGCTACTAGCTCTTCTTGCTCATCCAACCATCCTTGCTCTCTTTAAAGAAAATAACATTTAGAAAAAAAAAAAAAGATCAGGTATATTCTATCATTTCTATTGTCATTAATGCCACAATGCATAATATGATATATACCTTCTTAAGTCTTCATGTAGTTTCTGATTCTTTGACTGAACCGTGGACAGTAATATTTCAAGATCATGGTCTAATTTTTGCAACTGCAATATAAAAAGACCCATAAGAATATTTAAATTGTTAAACTATTAATATTCTTTTAATACCATTCGGAATTATTTTTAAGTACTCATTTTTATTTGATGTAATTTTTAAACATTTTAAAATTGATGCACTTTTTAAACATCTCAATTACTTCTCAAGAACTCCCCTAAATCCCCCTCATGTGAAGAAGAGACAGTAAGACTTAAGAGATCTCTCATGTAACAAAGTACAGTTAAGAAAAACAATTCAACACACTGGCCATATCTGGCAACACTGCCTCACATCCCTTTCTACTGAGAGGAGAGAGACATGTTTCACCATTAGTCCTCTGAGTGACGAGAACTGTTCTCAACTTATATTCTGGTCTGATACTCCAGTTTAGAAAACAATAGCAAGTGAAAGAAAATAAATCTGTTGAATGTCTTTTGATGCTGACTTGGTAAAGCAGATATCTATATTTTATATAGTCAAATTCCAGGTTAAATATTCTAGTTCTGGAATATGGGACTTCATGACAAATATGTAATACACCATCTCATTGTCGGCACTTACATAACCTATAAGTAATTCTTTATCACTAAGAAGTAGCTATTTATGGGAACAAGATTGATGCTTTAAAACCTCTACAACAATTATATAATAAAGCAGATGGCAATTAACATATGCAATTAAAAGTGTTTAGAGTTAAGATAATTCTGCAAGTTAAAATTTAATAACGAAACCAAGTTTGCTATAATTATAACTGAGACTAATACTGTTTTATTAGATTAAAAACCTCTTTAGCACAAAGTAGAGCCATAAAAGGGCATTTCTGTGACATTGAAAACATCTGAAAACTGTACCTAGTGTTATGCACACTAATAATATAGTGTATGTGCATATGTGTGTGTAGTAATACAAAACTACTTTTAGTCTTTATTTAACATATTCAATACGACATCACAAAACAGGCATAGATAGTAAAATTTTCTGGCATCCAAAACATTTACAAACATACAAAGAGTCCCAAAAGTTTCAGTATAGGTTTAAGCTATTAAAGCTTAAAATGAGAGTGTCTGTATATTGAGAGTATCTCATCAGTTCCTCTATGTTGGGTGCTGGGACAGCTGCCTCTCTTGCTTGTGGATAGTATTTGCTCTAAAAGGACTATTTACTTTTCGATAGACAGCCCAAGAAACTGCTGATGGGGGAGGGAACAGAGATCAAATCTGATACAATGCAAAGCTCTATTACAGTATTTCTATTTTTTCTAATATCTTTGCATTCTACCATCACTGTAACATATTTAGACATGTTGATATTTATACCAAGAAATTTTAAGTTTAATTCCTACACCAAGAAAGCAGGTAAAGTTCAGCATTTTAAATTTCTAGGGATAAGGTTCCAGGGAGTGGACCAGTGAATTTTATTAGTATAGGACAACTTTCTAGGTGAGGAAGCCCCCTCTACTAACACAGGCTGATACTTTCTCTGTAACTTACAGTCTTAGAGAGTTGCCTTCAGCACTAAATTAATCACTTGCCCAAGGTCACAGCCAATGCGTGTCAGAGGCAGAACTAGAAACCAGGTTTTTCTAGATTGGACGCCAGCTCTCTATTCATTATACTGCACAGCCTGTCTCAATATACCAAATTAGTATTTATTTGCATGATGGCTAAATTGTTCTGTCTCCTCAAACGGTCAATCAAAAAAATGGCATCTTATCCCTGATATAGTACTCAACTATAATCTCTGTTGGAGTAAACAGATTATTAATATTTTTCATTAACATGTTAAAACTGAACAGGGTTTTAAAATTCACTGCATACTTAAAGTAGCACACCACTGCAGAATTGGAAATGTGAGAATACCCCATAGTCAATAGCCTTCAACATGAAATATATATTTCACGTTAGTCTTTCATCCAGTGCTGATCTTATATAAAACATACTTAATAAATAATAGATAGCAAGGATGTATCATAATGAAAATTCATCAAAGGAGCTTCTTTCACTTTTATCTACTTAAACTATCATTCTAAAGCAGACCACACCTTTACATTCACATAAACGAATAAAAGTGCACAGATTACAAGGACTTACTGTTCACTAACACTTGATTTCATTTAGGCAAACTATCGCCTTAAAAGCTCTCCTATGTTTTTACCTTGCATGTCAAAATCATACAAAATAACTTTATTCTATGATCATTAATATCAAATAAACCTTTCCAAAGTTGATTGTTACCATTATAGAAGATATCCAGCAGACTCCAAATGGAAGAGATTCCCTATAGAAGGTAAGATCTTCCAGATGTGTTTGTTGGCAGATTACATTGCTTTGAATGCATCAAGTCCCAGAGGATTGCAGAGATTCCTATATGGTTCCATAATCACTCAAAAGAATTAAAGTTAACTATCCACAAAGAAAAAACTAAGTGGATGAATAAGTTCGATTGCCTAGAATGATGTGTAATGGAATGGAAAACCTACAGAGCTAGTCCATCAGTACATATCATCTTAGGCATCTACTGTGGCTGGATGGCAACCTGGCCCCAAACTGAACAGGCAAAAGAATGAGCTGAACTGCCTTTGGAAAAGTTGTACATGCTTTAAATGATCCCAAACTTCTCCCTGAAACAAAGACTCATCTTCTTAACATGAAAATTCATCAAGTGATGCAGTATGGCTGTGGGTGATGGAATAACACATTCTTCAAAGAACAAAAGTTGCAGGTCACCCAAAAAGCAATGGAGAAGCATAATGGAGATGCCTATAATATAAGTGGGGCAGGTAATATATTGCCAAGAAAGAAGTGTGCAAAAGAAGGGTAAAGGATGGCATCAGAGAAGTGTGTGTATGACTGGAAAAGGAAGTGGACTAGTCATGAAGCTAGTGAGATATGATCAAAACAGAACTTACTCTCTTTCACTACCTTCCCTACAGAGGGCAACACCAACCTCCCAGGCCCTTCAGGCTCACAACCTAGAAATCATCCTGGATTCCTCACTCTCTGTTGCCAAGGCCTATAAATCACACCCTCTCTCAAGTACATCTCCCTCCTCTCCTCTGACACTGTCACCACACTAGTGCAGGCCCCCTAATCACTTCATGCCTGGATTATTGCCAGCAGCCAACTGGTGGGTCTGTCTGCCTTAAGTTTCTCCCCACCATAATCCATCCTCCAGTCAGCCACCAGCGATTTTCCAAAAAGCACAGGTCTGACCCCCTACTTGGTAAACTCCAGTGGCTCCCAATGACCGAAAAGATCAACTTCAAAATGTCTGTTTGGTGTTCAAAGCCCTCCATAACCTAGCCCCTTCCTATCTTTGCAGTCATTTCACACTTTACTCCTTGTCCAATGACATCGGCCTCCTTGCTGTTCCTCAAACAAGACATTCTATCTCTTTGTCCCCATATTTTCTCTATCTCCCATGCTTAGAACACTCTCCCTCCTCTGTTCCAGTTACTGACCTTCTAAGGCACAGCTTTGACTATTTCTTTCTCCTGTACAAAAAGCTTCTGTGATTCCCTTTAGAATAAAAAACAAACTTCTTGGGCCTAGTATTTAAGGCCTTCCACCATAGTCTGACTTGCACTAACCCTCCCAGTCTTATAATCTTTTTATGTTCTCTCATGAACTTTCTTACACCCTTCAATATTCTGGTCAAAATGGACCAGTAGTCATATCCTGAAACTCATTATGTCATCTCCTGCCTCCAGGCACAAATTCCCTCATCTTTACCTCTCAGAATCTGTCTTCTTCCAAAACTCAACTCATGTGTCACCTCCACAACAAAGCCTTCCTTGACTCTCCTTATTCTCCTCTTTGATTTCCCTTCTGCTATACTTATTTATACACAGGTTGTGTCCCTCAGTAAAATGTAAGTTTTCTGAGGGCAATGACAACTTTTGTTTTTTATACCCAGCACCTAGTAAAATATCTTATATGTGAGGCTTACTTGCACTTAAGTTTAAAGAATGAAGTTACTTGTTCATAGTCAACACATAGTCACATGTTAGATTTTAACCCAGGTGTCATGAGACCCCAAGTCCATCATGCTATCCACTACTCCCTATTTATTTCTAGGTAGGTTTATCTGAGATTGAAGTAAACATGCTTTCAACCACAGAAATATATTAATAGAACTTTTCATTAATATATAAACAGTACTGCCAAAAACTGTTATTTAAAAGATGGCTTCTAGAAATAAAGTTTTAAAGAAAACAAACCCACATGCATATAATCGAGTACCTTGACATATAGCAGATATTTAAAATTAACTGACACAATTCTGTACCTCATGAATCCTTTAACTATCATTAACTAATTCCAGGTCTGAATCTTATTTCTGATGAAAATATTCCTTTGCAATTCTTCCCACTTCTGTTATCCTGGAGACAAGAAGTCTTCCCAGAAATGTACACAGCTTCAGAGCTCTAGACCAGTTCAGCACCATAATCCACGGACTTTTCTCCTCTAGAATATCCTTCTCTGCTTATTCCCAATGAATTCGGGGGGAAAAAAAAGCATTAATATGCTTTGACTTTGCCTGTTCTCTTCCATCTCTCCCCATAGCAGTAGAAAAAATATAGCCACAAATCAACATTTCTAATCTTCCACTTAACTATGTGTCTTCAAAAGCTTCCCCAATAATTATAAGTGCAAAATGAGACATAGATTTTGTCATTACCAATGCATTGATTTGTTTTGCTTAACTATATTTGTCAGGGGGACAAGTGAGTGGGTAATGCTAGAGACGCTAATATTTAAATATACACAGAAGAAAACAAAGAAGTCCAGCAAAGGGCAATTATTTTAAATTTACTATTTTTTAGAAAAATCAGAAACAGAAGGTTCATATATATTCCTTTTTGTTGTTCACTGCATAGTAAAACTTTTCATTAGTAAGATAATGATTAAAAAAGCTCATTTAAAATGAAAAAAAGTTTTCCTAACTATTTCAGGTAAATATCTTTCCTTTTGTAAAAGGAAATAAAACATTCTTTTGTCTCTCTAGCTTTTTACATTTATCCCAAACTTGAAATGAACTGAAATTTACATAGAACAGTATTGTTTATAGATCAAGACTTCTCATTTACCTTAGCAGAGAATTCTGTAACTCATAAACTTGGCTCAGATAAAAACTACTTTCAGTTAAAGAAAACAATTCCATCCCATTTAACATAGGATTTATAAACAAACAAAAACAGAAACAAGAAAAACAAAACCCTGTAAAGTTTAAGGGGTTAATTTTAAGTTGTTTTATATTAATTTCTGAGTGTCCTATTTAATAAACATATTTTACTTCTAAATAAGAGTTATTACAAAGTAACTAAAAAACTTACCTCTTCTTTTCCTAGTGCTACCAGATTTTCTGCATTCAATGGGATTACTAGGGGAAAAATATGGAAAAATTACATGTATTATTACCTTATTTCATTCCAGTATATTTCTTAGAAAAGTTAAATTTAGTTTGTGAACTAAAATGGCGCTTTCCCTGTCTAGGCAATTCTAACATAGTAAAATTCATTATGTGATTCTAATACACTTAAAAATTATTTAGTCTAGGGGTAGCTAGGTGGCACAGTGGACAGAACACTGGCCCTGGATTCAGGAGAACCTGAGTTCAAATCCGGACTCAGACACATAACACTTACTAGCTGTGTGACCCTGGGCAAGTCACTTAACCCCATTGCCTTGCCAAAAAAAAATTTATTTACTCTAATGAATTATCTTGAATAATTGTTCAAATTATACAGTGCTACCTAAGTAGCACTAAGTAACCTATGTTCTGTGAACATAGGTTTAGAGGACCCCTGACTGCTTAAGTATCTCTTATACATGTTTTGTGAGCATTCAATTCAATGGAACATTAACCACCCACAAGATACAAAGCTACTATGCTAAGCCCTGGCTGATACAAGGACAACAGACAGGAGATAGCCAGGAAGAAAGTTGGTGCACAGAAGCCAAGAGAGGACAGTATATACAGGAGGAAAGGGTGATCAACAGCTACAGAGATGTCAAAAAAAAAAAAAAGGGAGAGAGAGAGGGAGAGAGAGAAAAGGTCACTGGGCAGAATAGCTGAGATGGCTGATAACCTTAGAAAAAGCTGTTAGTCATGTGGTAAGGCTAAAAGTCAGCTTTCCAGGAGTGAAAAATGAGTGGATGAAGATGAAATGATTCTTTCTAGGAGTCTGGCACTGATAGAAAGGAGATAAAGGATGGTAGCCCAAGGGGATGGCAGGGTGAAGTAATGGTTAGTGTGGAGAGTGGAGTCCTGGACATGTCTGTAGGAACAGGGAAAGAACCTGTGGACAGGGAGAGAGATGAGAAAGAAAATGAGAGTGATTGATGGGATAAGATCGCTGAAGAGAAAGAAGGATAGGATCAGAGGCACAAGTAGAAGATTTAGCCCCGGCAAGAAATGCTGCAGTAATGTTTCCTTCCTTGACTAGAACAAAAGAGTATGGGGTAATGATGTAGAACGGTTTTGAAGTGTGGGATAGGTAAGAAAGGGAAGCCTCATAGCAAATGGCTTCAGTTTTCTAAGTAGGAAGTGAGGAACTCTGTTGAGGGAAGCAGGGGTGGGGTAGGGGTGGATCCTATCTATACAAGGCCTGAGAAAAAATATGAAGGTTTGAAAAGCCATAGTGGGAAGTGTGAGACAACCAGGAAGGACTAAAAGGACTGTCTATATAGTACTGAAGACCCAAATGAGATAAGATAATGTGAATTTGGCCCGAGTAGCACAGTGGGATGACTTCCTTCAGCTGTACTCAGAACATGAACGAAATGTTTGGGAGGCAGGAGGGATAGAAGTTGTGGGAGATCCCAGTATAGCTCTTACAATTCTACATTAAGTGTACTACTAAAATCGACTACTGGTCATTTTACCCATAGCAGTACAAAGTCTTCGACAAGCTCACCCAGAAAGCTGGAGCACTAAATACTAAGTTTGGAAGAGGCTAATGCTACTTTAAAAAAAGGACAGAGGAAGGAATCTGACCTATAGTTTTACTGGTATAGGGAATCTCCAGGTGAAGAAACTCTCTCTACCAATTCAAGGCAGCACTTTCTTTACAATTTACAGTCTTAGAAAGAATTGCCTAGGGCCCAGAGATTAAGAGTCTTGCCTGGTGTCACATACCCATTATGTGTAAGAAGTGGGTTTTGAATGAAGGCTTTTCTGCTCATGAGGCTGGCTCTTTCCCAATATGCTATGCTACCTCTCTTAAAATGAACAGCATTAAAAAGGTACCCAGTGTCATAAAATTCTAGCTTTACTCTACAAAGCCACTATGACTCTAGAAAGAGCTCCCTGAAATAGTTAACTTTTAACTTATTTTTTCTCAATTACATGTAAACAAAAAATTTTAATATTTAAAAAAACTTTTTGAGTTCCATATTCTTTCCTTCCTTCCCTCCCCTTTTCCTCCTTGAGAAGACAAGCAATTTGATATAGATTACACATGTACAGTCACGCAAAACATTTCTATATTAGCCATGTTGCAAAAGAAAACAGATCAAAAAACCAACAATAATAAAGAAAAATTTAAAAGGATGTTTCAATCTGCATTCAAATTCCATCAGCTTTTTTCCCTGGAGGTAGACAGCACTTTTCATCCTAAGTCCTTCAGAACCGTCTTAGATATTGCTGAGAATAGCCAAGTCATTCATGGTTGATCATCACACAATATTGCTGTTACTGTGTACAATGTTCTCCTTGTTCTACTTATTTCACTTTACATCAGTTCATATAAGTTTTTTCAGGTTTTCCTGAAACCATCCTGCTCATCATTTCTTATTCACACACTAGTAGTCCACCACAATCATATACCACAACTTGTTCTGCCATTCCCCAATTGATAGGCATCCCCTCAATTTCCAATTCTTTGTCACCACAAAAAGAGCTGATATAAATATTTCTGTACATGTAAGTCCTTTTCCTTTTATCTTTTTGAGGGTATAGTCCTATTAGTTGTACCGCTGGGTCAAAGGGTATGTACAGTTTTATAGCCCTTTTGGCATAATTCCAAATTGCTGTCCAGAATGGTTGGATAGGGATGCTGGTATGGTTCCCCTGCATCCTCTTCTAAACATTACTTAGGTAGCATGTTCCATTCCATTAAGAGGGCCTCAACTGTATGAAAAATAATGAGAGCTGCAAAAGTAATACTCCGGAGTTGCGAATTTGTCCATAGATAGCACTACATATATGATCACCCCTAATTTTGCCTAATGAATGCATTTTCTCTAAGTGGCATTTGATCACTTCATTAGCAATGACCTGTTTAACACCTTTTAAAATGAAGTAATTTATGGACAAGATATTCTTATCACATTTCTGAATATTTTAATGAGGAAGAAATAAAAAAAACTAAAGGTATTTTTACACTTAAATTTGTGTGGGATTTCCAAACTTCAATAAGAGAGCACCTTCCTCATTACAGGAAAAGAATTCATGTCAATAGGAACTATTTAGGAGTAAAATCTCAAAAGATTTCATGCCCAAAGAAAAAATAAGCATGGGGCAAGGTCTCCGTGTGGTTGCTGGACTGTATTCTTGGGTAGACTTTCCAAATGGGACAATTACTGGCCGGATTTGGGATTTTGACAGAGTTACTTTTGGAATTTTCGCCTGTCAGGACGGTCATTATGAAGGAAGCTGGCAAATTTGCAGGCGAATTGGCAAATCTGATGAGGGAGACTGCCAGGGTAGAAACAACTATAGAAACTAAATAAGTTGCCAAAAATAACAACAACAACAAAAAATAGCAGGACAAAAAGGATTAGAATATAAACTGTTCTTGAGTTTAAACTTAAGCTCAGTGTATTGCTTTGATAGTATCATGCATATAGTAGGCACTAAATGAATGTTGGATTGGAGAAAAGAACAGTCAAGCCTTAACTATTCATGACAATAAAAGGAAAACAAACAAATCAAAAGAATATTCAAAATCTCATTTTAACAGATTGGAAGCTCCACAGGAATTTTCCTCAATATATAATATCCATGACTCCCCAATTCCTGGCCTAATACATGTATTCTCCTTTTTTGCTATACCTAAACAGCTGTTTGTTTAATATAAGACCTAAAAATTCTGTATCATTATAGTTGTTCTTAGATTGTAAACCCTTAGAGGATAGCACATTTACTCTATTAAACTTTGTTTACTTTAGTAAACTCTATTATTACTCTTATTAAACTTATTTTGCAAATGAATGACTATGAAAAATAATTAGGAACCATGTGCAAAGTACATGCTATGCATTGCAATTACAAATAGAAAAGTGGAGATAATTCCTGTTCTCACATTCTAATGGGTGACACAACACATATTAGAAGTCTCAGAAGTAAGTTAAATGGAAAGGTCCCAGGGTCCTCAGGATGCAGAAGCAAAAGAGATAGTAATCCCACTTTTTATGTCATTTCTAGTGGCAAAATCATGTCCCTAATGTTGATCCATTTGAAACTGCCAAAGACTTTCTTTTCCAGATCTTCAGTAGCTATTGCTGTTGAGCAGGTTCTGTGGGTTCTAACACCTGCAGAAACAGTCAATGGGTCCTCTCTCCATAGGGGTTGCTTCTCAGTTCAATGACTTTGGAGGCTGGGCTAGAAGTAGGACTTGTGGTTGGGGTGCAGAGTATGATGTCCCTCTCAGAGTTTCTTGGCTTATTATCCTAAGGGTACAAGTTGATCATTGGTTGGTGTTGGTTACAAGAAAGGTAGGCCCCATCTTCACAGTGACTGCTCAATCATGACTGACCCTCAATGATGGTTGCAGAACCTAGGTTAGAAGCAGGACAAGTAGTCTGGGGGGCACACAGCTGTTCCCAGGGCTCTTGTACTTTGCAAAGTACGTAGTCTATCAGCAGCAAACCATGTGCCCCTACACCAGTTCTGGTTTGCATAAAACCAAAGTACAGCCTGTAGTCAGCATTATTTTTTCAGCATGTACTTAAAAACCTCCTGACTTACTTTCATGGAGCTATTATTATTATTTTTGGCTAGGCAATGGGGTTAAGTGACTTGCCCAGGGTCACACAGCTAGTAAGTGTCAAGGGTCGGAGGCCAGACTTGAACTCAGGTCCTCCTGACTCCAGAGCTGGTGCTCTATCCACTGTGCCACCTAGCTGCCCTTGACGGAGCTATTATTTTAAACATAAGGGTACTCCCTTCCAGTAATGTAGATAACAATATATCCATACCTTCTCATCCATGTTCTCCCACAAATCCACCAAAGATAGTCCTCCCAATTTGCTGAGGGCCTCCCTCTAGATCAGTGCTTCTTAAACTGTGTGTCACAAACCCATATGGGGTCACATAACCGAATGGGGGGGGGGTTGGCAACAGTAAAAGGTGTCTGAACATACAACGACCAAAAATTA